AATTACATGTGTCCACTGCTGCAGCTGCTCCTTCATAGTGCTGCTTGGTTGCAGTGAAAATGGCTTCTCTCTCCTCCCTAGAGACCTTTAAATAAAAAATCTGTGTATCTGTGTGGGGGGACGGGGGATGGGAGGATGAATTGATGGGGGACTGTTTTGTTTTGTTTTTGTTTTAATTTGCTGCTTCTATTTGAGGTGGGGATATAGGTGGCCAACCTGAATTAATTTGATAGCTTTGTGGTGACAAAGGATAAAGGAAGGTTTGGGGCTGCTTAAAGCAGTGGTTTAGGATGGCTTAATACAGCTTCGTAGACGTCAGGATGGCTCTGTTCTCAGAGGCCTGTGATGTTCTGATGTATGAGGAATCCACAGTCTCCTGAAAGGAGGCAAAAATAATAACGTCCTAAGAGACTGAATCACAGGCAGTGTTTTTAAAAAATACATCTAGTTATCAGTTTTTGCCCATATTCTTTTTGTTTCCATTTACCCTTCCTTCTCTAATTCCCGGCCTTACCATCACATGCACGGAATGCTTATTACCCTAAGGTTATGAATAAAAGTAAAGCCTCTCTTGGGCTTCCCTGGTGGTGCAGTGGTAGAGAGTCCGCCTGCCAGTGCAGGGGACGCAGGTTCGTGCCCCGGTCTGGGAAGATCCCACATACCGCGGAGTGGCTGGGCCCGTGAACCATGGCCGCTGAGCCTGCGCGTCCGGAGCCTGTGCTCCACAACGGGAGAGGCCACAACAGTGAGAAGCCTGCATACCGCAAAAAAAAAAAAAAAAAAGTAAAGCCTCTCAAGAGGATCCAGCAGTACTACTGAACAAAAAACATAGCTCCCTGATAGTTGGAAAGCCCGCTGCAGGGTGTGTAATCACCAGGACATCGGCATCACAACTATCTTAAAGGTCATCAAGTGCATCCTCCCTGTTTAGTCCTGGAACCCTGCTCCGCCAACCCCAGCAGCTGATTGGAGACAGTATTGATGAGGATGACTTGGATATGCATATTTTTAAATTCCCTTCAGCTTTTCAGGCACAGCTTTTCAATGGCCAAATACTGTTTCCTGTGCTTTGTCGAAATATTCCCTGTGGCATCAGAGATTTACCAATCAGGTGTCTACACACAGGCAGAGGGGGGCAAACACTTCCTTGTCCACCAAAACTGCTTTCGGCTAATGCCATCCAAAAAATCCCTATGGAATATATACTAAAAGTCTTAAAATGAGTATATACTATGGCTTAAATATTCTACTTTTAGGAATTTATTCTAAGGAAATAATCAAACAAGGATGTAAATTTGTATGCCCAAGGATAGCCATTAAGCCCGTGTTTAAGAGCATGGACCCTGGGCTTCCCTGGTGGTGCAGTGGTTAAGAATCTGCCTGCCAATGCAGGGGACACGGGTTCGAGCCCTGGTCCGGGAAGATCCCACATGCCGAGGAGCAACTAAGCCCGTGTGCCACAACTACTGAGCCTGCGAGCCACAGCTACTGAAGCCTGTGCACCTAGAGCCTGTGCTCCACAACAAGAGAAGCCGCTGCGACGAGAAGCCCATGCACCACAACAAAGAGTAGCCCCCGCTCGCCGCAACTAGAGAAAGCCCGCGCGCAGCAACAAAGACCCAATGCAGCCAAAAATAATTAACTTTAAAAAAAAGATATAATTAAAAAAGAAAAAGAGCATGGACCCTGGGGTAAGACGGCCTGGTTTCCCTCTTGGCTCTACTTATTAGTTGTGTCACCTGGTGAGCGTCACTCAACTTCTCTGCCTTAGCTGTCCCTACTTCACAGGGTCTGTCCTGTCATGAGAAATAAATGAATTCATATGTAAAAGATGCTCAGGATGGTTTCTGGCACATAGTTTTTGCTTCTAATGATAGAAAAATTGGACATAGCCTACATATTCATTGATTTAATAAAACAAAATGTGCCATGTTTTAAAGATATTCACATATTAAAAGAAAAACAATTAGGTTACATAATAATGTATTAAGTATGAATGCTGAATAGTTACATGCCAAAAGGTTATTTTTTGGTGATGGAATTATAGACTATAGTTTTCCCTCTGCATCATTGCTATTTTCTAAATTTTCCACAAAGGAGATGTACAGTATAATAAAAGTTGTCTTTTTAACCCCTGTAGAATAATAATAACAGCTAACATTTATTGAGAGCTTACAACAGATCAGGTGTTTTTCTAACATGGCAGATGGATATTCATTGCTTACAATAACCCTACAAGGCAGGTGCTATGATCATTAATCTCCATTTCACAGATTAAGAAATTGAGGCAGAGAGAGGTGAAGTAATGTGCCTACGTCTTCCATCTAGCAAGCAGTAGAGGTGGGATTTGAACCTGGGCTGTCTGACTCAGGGCCTATGTTTTTAGGTTAGGAACTCTCTTTGTATGATTCTAGTAACCCAAAAGAGCACTGAACTACATACAGCACCCATGACAATCACCTAGTTGCATACACTGTTTAAAGGAAATGCATTAAGGAGTGCCTCTCACTCCCGGTATCTTTGTTGCCAGATAATAGGTAAATAAGAGGTTTTCAGGCCTCCAGCCTTATTCTGAGTTTTCTTAGTAAATGGGGAGAATATATTCAGATCACACAGTAAAATTGACTTTTCTGTGTATCCCTTAAAAAGAGTGCATGGACTTTACATGGCAATAAGCAAACTGGAAATAGTTTATATTTTTAAAAATCATAAACAGAAATAGTTAAGTAGCATATACAGTTTTCACTATCATAGTACTCAAACAGTAAAGAGTCAATATATTGAGTGCCAGGAGCAATAAAGTTTAGAACAAAGTTGTCCCTTCAGTTCAGGGTACATAATTACTGCAGATCAGAGGCATCGTGAGGTAACAATGGATTTTCAGCAATTGTCTCTTTCTGTTCTAGAATTTCCGTTTTTATGCAGGCAGTTAAATTGTAATTGATGGATTTCTGCATACCTTTTAAAGAGTGAAAATTGGGTGTTTCGGAGTAATAATTTTACATTAGAAAATAATATCTTACACCTGGTGGCTGCAACCATAGGATCTATTTTTGAAAACTGTCCACCTCTATCATTTAATAACCAGCCTGGTAATGTACTAGCAGACAAGGCTGGTTGAATTAGGCTGTCAGGACTAGTGTGTTCCTGGATAGCACTACCAATCATGAGTCCTTGAGACTGTTAAATACTACAGGTTGGCCAACACATTACTCAGAGGCAACTAATTAGGTTCAGGGAGCTTCTGGGCGTTCATTACATCATTAGACAAAGTCTCTGAAATCCGGAAGGAATAGCCAGTCCCAGTTCTGATAAATTGCTACCTTAATCCTCCCAGAATTCTGCGGGAGTTGGGATTCACTGCTGTCATCTGCACTAAGGGGTCCTTCTTGATCTATTTCCCAGAAGAGGCTGACCTTCCTGAGAGGTCCTAGAAACCAGGGAAGGGATTTTTCTCTCTCTTTGCCTTGCTGTCATTGACGTTCCCCTCCAGCAACACTAAAACACCCCATTAGTGAGAGCACCTGTCCACCAGTGGGCTGGTCTGGCTGCATCTTGTCTCTATGGCTCATCTTGACTGTGAGGGAGATGGCAGTTGATGGAGGAACCTCTCCTGCCCCTGCTTCTAACCACTGCCTTCCTGAGGACATGTTATCACAGGGGTATTATGGGATTTGGTCCTGGACAGGATTCATCACCCACAAGTCTTGGACAAGTAAATCAGCTTTGGTTTCCTCAATAGTAGAAGAGTGAGATTAATATCTGCCTTACAAAGCTGTCAAGATTAACAGATACAAAGTATAGAAAGAATTTTGAACAGGGCCTGGAACCTAGTGTGCTGTCAATAAAGACTTGCGATCATCAATAAATGATGATTACTGATCACTGCTTGTTAGAAATGCAAGGGATTTAGATTATTCATATTTTCCTCAACTCAGAAATGTGATCTGGCTTTGGGTTTTAGACCAGAAGAGTCACCAATTGTGGCACAGGAGTTGAGAAACAAGGTCAAATAAAATTGTGTACCTATCAGATTGATTTTTCCAAAAACATCTGGAATTTCTTCTTTAAAAAAAAGAAAATCCTGGTTCTCTTCCTCCTGTTGTTCTGTTACCTCTTCCGTGGCCCCTGCACTTCCCCAGGCAATCCATGGAATGTTTTCATTATTACTGTTTCAGAACTATGTATTTTTTTGTTAAAAATGAATTTATATTAGTTATTCTACCACACAGCATGTTTCCAATTACATACTGAACTCTAGTCTGTGCTCAAATGTAACGTGATATTTGTAAACTAATAAACCCCTCCACTCACCCCCAAAACTATTCAAATTTCAATTTCATTCACAGCTTCTGTCACTGTCACTGTGAACTTTTTTCACTCTCTTTGGAAATGTTCGGTTCCTGCTATTTGTTAAGGTTCTGTTCTTCATAGAAAAACTGCAGCTGCAGCCAGAGAAGGTGGATAATCAGATAGTGCCGGTTGGAGCAGTTATCTGGAGCCCAGGCTTTCCCCATGACAGCTTCTAGACGGTTGCTTATCTCCAGACCCTAACCTGCCAAACTCAAGTACGGCTAGACGACTACAAAGCCTAAAGATAAACTCTCTGGGAAAAACTTCTTTGGGGGTGACGAGCAGGCTTTTCATTCTGCTGAACATTGGGGCCGGCACGTTGATGTTCCCGGGAGTGCTGGCGCACAGGGAGAGACGGGCACTGGGGCCGGACCCTCGGCATCGCTGCTCCTCTCTGCAGGAAGCCGGCATCTATGAAACCTGCCTCACTGTGCTCCCAAGCTGTGCTTATGAAACGACCACCTCATTCCTGCGCCTTCTCTCGTCTGCTTTGCGGAAAACGCTGGGAGCCTGGGAGCGCTGGAATCCGGCCACTTGCCAAGTCCGTGTGCAAAAGCGGGGAGCCAGGGACGTCGGAGGGCAGGGAACTGGCCAGCGTGTTCTCGGGTTTCATTTCCTTCATGCTTCTCTCCCCCTTTGTTTTTCAGGTAGCGAAGCCGATTTTAGCTCCTCGAGCAGCACGGGCAGCATCTCGGCGCCTGAGGTCCACATGTCTGCTGCGGGAAGCAAGCGGTCCTCTTTCTCACGCAAGTAGGCCGGCCTCCTGCCCCCTGCTCTGTAATTGTTAAGACGCGTTACGCGGGCGACTGACCTGTACGTTATGTTTCTCTAGAACCACCTGGATTACTGTGCGTTCCGATTTTATGCTTATTCAGTGAGTGCTTTTTGCTTGGCTGGTTTTTACAGTGATCCGCAGTTGGTACTTTTCCCAGCCTCACCTACGTTCGTCACGACGTGGTTGCCCTGTGTTCCTCCGCCCGCGACGCCCTCTCGTGCAGCCCCGGCGCCTTCCCTCCCGTCTCTCTCCTTCCCTCACCCACCTGTGTGCTCACCTGAGGATCAGGCTAGTCGGCTCCCACTTCCCACCCTTCCGCCCCTTCATGAATCTGTCCTCTTAGCTGCAAAGCCTCTCACTTCATCCTTTCTTTCCTCTAGCAGAGCTTCCTTTTTCGTCTTTGTGAAAGAAGCATAGTGACCCTCTGGCCACCTCCAACGTTCACGTGGGGAAGGGGTGAAGAAAGTTTGGAGTTCATAGGCCTGGGTGCCCCCTACCCACCGAAGGAGGCAGTAGAACAGAATAGCTAAGTGTGAGGGCTCTGGAGCCAGGCTACCTTGGTTTGAATGCCAGCTCCACCATCTACAGGCTGTGTGGCCCTGAGCAAGTTGCTCAACTTCTCTTCGCCTCAGTTTTCTCACCTGGAAAGTAGGGCTACAGTCATACCCACCTGGTAGCGTTTATTGTTAGGGTTAAATTAGTTAATTCAGGTAAAGTGTGAGGTCATTGCTTGAAACATCAGCAGGTGTTCGCCATTGGTGCTGTTTGGACTGGGGGAGAGAAGGTCTGTGAGGGAAATGGGAGCCACTGTTCACGTTTGGCGGGACAGCTAGTCAGCCCCAGGATTCTCTGCTGCCGTCAGTGGCTTCATTTATTCATTCAATACGTATTTATTGAGCATCTACTGTGAGGCAGTTTCTAGAGATAGGGCAGTAAACAAAACTTATGAAAAACTATTTTCATTCTAGTAGAGAAAGAAGGATAATAAATGCATATAAATAATATATATATTTTTAAATACAGGGAAAGGATATGGAGGGTAATAGGATGTTTGGTATATTCTAGATAGGCTGGTTCCTGGAGACACTGTGATGAGGTGAGCTCTGGGCAGGGACCTGAACAAAGCGATGGAGTGATCCACACAACACAGGGGTGACTGTCACTTGACTGTCCTGGGCCGCAGTGTCCAAATGTGTAAAAAGGCGATTGGACCACATGATTTTTAAGGTTCCTTGCTGAAGAAAAGCTGTTTAGTTTCTAAAAGCTTGCATTTCCAGGACTGAGCAAGCAAATGTTTCCCACTTCTCTTAGGTGAGCAGAAGATATGGCTGATATTTATAAAGGGACCTGAGAGCCCCAGTGCAGAGTTTTATTGTTAAAAAACAAACTTGTAACTAAAGAGTGAAGTCCACAGTGAAGAAGCACAGTTGTTCTTCAAAATAGATAAATACCATTTATTTTGGAAATAAAGTGCCTCTGGGATCACAGGATGTAACTATAAACATTCTCTGTACAAATCAGATGTGGCTTGCTCTGAGAATAAGCCATTTATCTCACCCATTCAAGAAATTACCACATACCCATTGGTACAAGGCATCGAAGAACAGAGAGGCAAAGGAGAAAAGAAACGGCCTGAAGAGCAAGCCAATTTTGTTAAGCATTTCAAAGGAATTTGTGTTTGTGGTTAAATTCCAAGGTAATGTCAGTTATACTGAGTGACTTAGAGAAAATATTCTAGTCTGGAATCCATGAATTCTCTCAGTGATGAAAAATTGATGTGTTAAACATAAAGTCGTTAAATATAAATTATGTGCAAATCAGATATATGCTTAATAGACTAATATGCATAATAGATATATGGTCAATAGGAAATTGAAATAGGCAAATGTTCTATCCGTTATGTTCACTTTTTTTATCTGACCCAGGTACAGAGCACCATCAGTAGATACCTGGTCTGGAGCATCTCAGGTGTTTCACGTAATCTGTGTATTCTACAGGACCATGCTTTGAGGATAGCTCCTTTAGATGGGCCGGGTACCATGCAAAACTTTAAAATAACTTATGATCCTTTTAATTGGCTGGTTCCTCCTGTAGTAAATGAATTTTCTTTGTGGAGAATTAGATCCTGGGAGGAAGGCTAGCAGGAACATGTGGTGAAGGGGTGGGGGAAATGAAGGACAGGGTAGTTGGAAGGAATGTTTTTGACAGGCAGTTTTAAAAACAAAACTTAAAAGAGTTACAAACCATCTCTTCTTAGAGAAGGCCAACTCTGCTGATATTTCTGAGGAGTTTTCTTTCTTAAACTAGAACCCTAGGGCTTCCCTGGTGGCGCAATGGTTAAAATCCGCCTGCCAATGCAGGGGACGCGGGTTCGAGCCCTGGTCCAGGAAGATCCCACATGCCGCGGAGCAACTAAGCCCGTGCGCCACAACTACTGAGCCTGCGCTCTAGGGTCCGCGTGCCACAACTACTGAAACCTGCATACCTAGAGCCCGTGCTCTGCAACAAGAGAAGCCACCACAATGAGAGACCCACGCACCACAACAAACAGTAGCCCCCGCTCGCCGCAACTAGAGAAAGCCCGTGCACAGCAACGAAGACCCAATGCAGCCAAAAATAAATTAATTTAAAAACAACAACAACAAAGCTAAAACTCTAATCTTAATCAGAGGCAGAGAGAAGTAAGAAGAAGAAAAAAAAAAAAGCTCAGGATTTGGAGTCAGATGGACCTGGGCTTGAGTTCAGCATCCATTGCTTATTAGGTGCAAGACCCAGGGCCCCGAGCCTCAGTTTCCTGTTCTGGAAAATGGGGTAATAATGGCATCTACCTCACTGATTTAAATGAACTGATAGATATGAGTGCTTAACACAGTGCCCAGAACTCAGGAAAAGAGCCATTACATGGTTGTTTTAGTCAATAGTGATAAAAATAACACTAATGGGCAAGATGCTGCCGCTGTTGCCGCTGATGGTGGTGGTGGTGGTGGTGAATATGATCGTATTAGTTTGCTCAGGCTGTTATAACAAAATACCGTAGACTGGGTGGGTTAAACAACAGAAATGTACTTTCTCACAATTCTGGAAGCTAGAGGTCCAAGATCGAGGTGTCAGCAGGACTGGCTTCCGTGGAGGCCTTGCTCCTTGGCTTGTAGGCCTTGCTCCTTGGCTTGTCCCTGTTTCCTCACCTAGTCTTTTCTCTGTGCCTGCCTGTGTCCAAATTTCCTCTTCCTATAAGGGCACTAGTCAAATTGGGATTAGGGCCTACCCTACGGGCCTCATTTTAGCATAAATGCCTTTTTTAAAGCCCTGTTTCCAAATACAGTCACATTCTTAGGTACTGGGGGTTAGGGCTTCCACCTGCGAATTTGGGGAGGACACCATTCAGCCCATAACAGTGGTGGTGAGCATGGTGATGGTGATGGTGGTGGTGACAGTGACGGTGAGGGTGAGGACGTTACCTGAAGGAAAGGGCAATGCCTGGAGAATAGAGAGTCACCTGGGCGCCTTCTGAGGATCCCTTCTTCACTTTTCCCTTTCTCTCACTTTCCAGTTACTGGTTCAGATTTGCAGGAAGGGGGAGGGGTACCAGAATTCTATCTCCTCTCTGTGGGCTGCATTCTTTTTGTCCATCAGACCAAGGGATTTGGGGAGAGCTAGGAAGGTAGCGTCAGATTTGCCTGTGCATGGCCTTGACAAACATGGAATCCTGTCTTCTCCATTGCAAATGTTTTTTATTATCATCCACAATGAGTTTGTACCCACATATGTTAGCATTTGAACTAAACTAAATGTAAGGAACAGAACTGATAAAGCATGTAGTTTCTTTTTTAAAAGTTAGCTATCACAAACAGCCTAATAACTCATTTCCTGAAATATATTTCAAGACTCAATCATACCTTAGTAATGTTTGATAGTTTGAAGAGTTTTTGCTCTTTTCTGTACAGCAGATGAGTTCTTACAAAATCCTCATCTCATTTAATTTGTATGTCACTAATCGTGCATCTTAGTCATGCGTCAGACTAAAGAAGTCGGTGGTAAATTCTTCAGGTAATAACCACATACCTAGCCAGTACCTAATATACCTGTTTACAAGACCCAAACAATATATTCCATTTGTATAAAGCTGGAGACATTTCTGTAGAGTTGAGACCTGGATTTAAATCCCAGTGGAGCTGTGAGTTCTTGAACCAGTTTTTTTTTCCCCTGAGCCTCAGTTATTTCACATAACTGAGTACTGCCTGTATTTCACATAATATAAAAGGGAAATGATCACTGCACCAGTCTTATTGCTATAAGCCTTATTGCCATGATGGCCAAAATGAAGTGAAACAGTGTTCATAGAGCACCTGCAACAAGGCTTGGGTCACAGAAGGTTCTCAGCAAAGGTTAACTCAGAGTAGAATTCCCCAGGTCCACATGAGGGATAGCTCTTTACTCTTTCTCCTAACTTGTAATGGTTGACTCTCCATCTTTCTCATAGCCACATTAAGAAATAGTCAGGCCAACAGAAGTGAAGCATAGAGAGGCACATCCAAGCCAGAGTACCTATTCTTTTCTGCCTCACACCCACCAAAGAACTGCTGAAGTTGGTTTGTCACAAAGCCACCAGCCCATCTGTTCCATATAAAATGTCCTCTTCTCACAAAAAAGGAGGCAGAGTCCATGTGGATGATTTCAAAAGGAAAGAACTTTTTAACTTCAGAATTTGGTGATGTTTCATTTATATGTGATTTACTGGGTTGACTGCTAGTTCAAATTGTATTCGATTTTAAGTAAGTAATTGTGATTTTGGAGCCAAGCAGACCCACACACACACTCATCCTCACATTCACTCATGTTTCTCAGTGAGATGTGTCCGTTGGATACAGCTGTAATCAAAATTGCAAAGAGGGATTGACAAAAATAAGTCCTGCTATATGAAAAGTATCTTGTTCCCTTTGGTTTCCTTGTAATGTCAGCAAGATATATTCCTGACATGGATGTGCTACCCTATTTACAGTAATTTCAACATTCTCTAGATGCTTCCTTATACTCCAGGGTATCAAATTTAATGGAACTAGATTAACAGGGAACTTCAAACAGTTTATCCAGAAACAGTACCCTGCAGTTGAATTGCCCTTAACAGCTTGTCCAGTGTACTCAACATCCATTCTTTGATTTATTTGCACATCAACTCTGTGAAAGTTATCATATATCCCCAATATTAAGTGGCTTACTTGCCTAAGTTCCTAGTAAGTGGCAGTGCCAGGACTTCAACCCAGTTTATTCCCTTAGCAGTCATTTAGGAAGAACCTAGCATGTGCCAGGAGGTAGTGGGGATGTTTCTGCCCTCAGGATGCCCTAGTCTAGTGGAAAAGACAGACAGACGTGCTGTGGTGATGCACTGTGATAATTTCCATGGTGAAGCCTGCACAGGGTGTTGGAAAGCACCGGCGAACAGCACCTACACTGGCCGAGGGAGTGAGGGGTCCAGAGAAGGCTGCTTGGAGTAGGTTCCCATCAGTCTTGAAGTAGGAGGTACCCAGAGGCTCAGGGTAGGAGAAGAAGAACAATTCTAGGCAGAGAGAATAATAAAAAGATGATGGAGAGCGTGGACCATCAGGAAACTGTACATCATCTGGAATGCAGGGGGAGGAACAGCAGAGGATGCGTTGGATGGGGTGGTGGGGTCAGACCTTGTGAGCTGTATTAAGGGGTCTGGCCTTTATTCTGGAGGCTGCGGGGAAATCACTGAGTGGCTTTGAGGAGGCCAGCGATACTCAAATTCCATATTGGAAAAGCCACTCTCACCACAGGGACGGCCTCCTTGCTGGAGGGGCAAGAGAAGAGGCAGGGAAAAAAAGGGGGCTAACGTTTTAGCAGTTAAATGATAAAGGTTGTGCTATGTCATTGGGGATGTAAAGAAAAAGAAAAAAAAATAGGTGGTTAAAATTATAGACGATACATTTATGTGGGTTATATTTATCCTGTTTTTTCCTTCTTTACGGGCAAACCCCTTTTCCCCCATCCTCCAAATGAAACACCCTAATTTTTTTACCCAACATGAGCCAAACCTGAATATTTTTACGCAGAAACAGGTATACTGGAACAAAAGCCACATCTTCAAAATGGCCTCTGGAACGAAACGAAACCAAATCAATATTTTACCTGGTTTGTGTTCTTAGCAGGCAGCTGGGTTTAATCTATGGTCAGAAACTATTTGACAGAGTAGAAGAGGGAGAGGTTGCCTGTGCTGGTGACACAGGAGAGAAAATATCGGGCAGGTGGGAAGGCCACTCATAAAGCCAAATTGCTGTAATAAGTATGTTACCCTTTTCAACCCTATAGATTGGATTTCCTCAGTGGTGACTAGCTTTTAAGAAGGAACAAAGCGTTCGCATTTGGGTATCTACAGCCCCAAGGATTCTAACATTCTTCATGCTTCTCTCCCAGTCGAGGTCCCCATGGGCGGAGCAATGGAGCTCCATCATACAAGACTGGCAACAGCCCACCCTCCCCACGGGAGAAGGACCTTCTGTCCATGCTCTGCAGGAATCAGCTGAGTCCCGTTAACATCCATCCCAGTTATGCGCCTTCTTCCCCCAGTAGCAGCAACTCCGGCTCCTACAAGGGAAGTGACTGCAGCCCTGTCATGAGGTGAGTGCCGTCTATCTCCCAATTCATGACTCTTAGTTTGTCCTACTTGGTAAGCTTCTCTTTAAAAAAAATTTTTTTTAAATGATACAACTCTTGATCCCCTGCCTTATTCTGTCATACAACACTTCTCTTTCCTTTCCCACACTCAGCTAATCCTTCAAGGGCTGCTGCAGAAAGGACACGAGCCACAGTTTCATTTCTAATAAGGTCCCGCAGTCCCAGGAGTTCCTGGCTAGGCAGAAAAAATGGCACAGCGGCAGTAGGAGGGTCCTATGCATTTCCCTCCAAACAGAGAAGAGCCATTCGTGTGTTTGCTCATTCATTCAAACACCAGATGTTTATTGAGCACCACGTTGTGCCCAGTACTGTGTAAAGCACTGGGAATAGAGCAGTAACTCTTGGCCAGCCCTAAGAGGGGCCAAGATTCCAGCAAGGGAAGTTCTGTAGAGCACTGGGCGCCTCTCTCACAAAACCTATCTGGTGAGACTGGACTAGCCTTTTTCCCTCCAGAAGAACGAACGTTTCCACCAAGTCAGCACACTCACACCAGGGACTGATGTCAGAACAATATGAATTCAACTAACAACAATCGGGACCTTTAGGCAAGTGGCACATTGTGTGGAAGCGAGGTCACCTCGCTCCCTCCTGCCCTCCCACCTGCCCCTACTCACTGTCCTTTAACATAATAGCCTGTTACTCTGAACTGCCAGGCAGGCCCGTGGACAATTGTGCATTGTTTTATATGAGATCATCCCTAGGCCACAGAAAATCTCCCTCTCCCCTGTCCCCGCCCCCTCCACAAACACCCCACCCCCAATCTTCCCAGTTTGAACAGTCCTAAGATTGGCAGGTGGATTATTGTCCCCCTTCTGAAGTGAGGTGATACGCTGCTGGGGTTTAAGGTCTCAGCAAACGGCTGCCATTTCTTCTCAACCTGTTAGCTGTGCCTTAACTTTTCTTTTTATAGAAAAAGTAACATGTCACTACTTCGTTTCAGACGATCTGGAAGGTACATGTCCTGTGGTGAAAATCATGGTGTCAAACCCCCAAATCCAGAGCAGTACTTGACTCCTCTGCAGCAGAAGGAGGTTACAGTGAGACACCTGAAGACCAGGCTCAAGGAGTCTGAGCGCCGACTGCATGAGAGGTGAATCCACGTTCCTTGCACGCTGCGGTTTAGGACATTTTCTTTTTCCATAAAATGAAATATGAACCCACACAAGAAAAGAAGACAAATGACTTTATTTAATTTCTTTCAGATTTCTTAAATCAGTCTCTCAAAAGAGCTATTTTATAATCCTGTGTGATTTGGCTGTTTCAGGGGTCCAGGGAACCCTCCTGCATTGGAAGGGATCCTCTGCTTTTTCTGGGTGTGTCCAGCTTTTTTTTTTTTTTTTTTTTTTTTGCGGCCCGCGGGCCTCTCACTGCTGTGGCCTCTCCCGTTGTCGAGCACAGACTCCGGACGCGCAGGCTCAGCGGCCATGGCTCATGGGCCCAGCCGCTCCGCGGCATGGGATCCTCCTGGACTGGGGCACGAACCCATGTCCCCTGCATCAGCAGGCGGACTCTCACTGCGCCACCAGGGAAGCCCATGTGTGTCCAGCTTTGACGTGAAAAATCGGGTGTGTGTGTGACTATATTTAAATGGCGGGAACACTTGCAGGAACAATCCCATACTTCCAGCAGAATGGGTCACACACAGTTGGCCCCTGTGAAGCCCTGTTTATCTCTGTGAGAGAGTGGATGGCCTTGTCCATTGTGATTCCTACAAGCTATTTCTGTGCTGAAGGAAGAGGTTCATTATTCTAGGCCAAGTGTTACGGTAATTAAAAAAAAAAAAAAATACAGCCCCAGCTTAAGAGATCTTATCCCAGAGAGAAGAGACTTCTGACATCTTGGGACAGGCCAGATTTTCTGCTTGATGGTTTTTCCCTGTCATTTTGCAGTTGACAAGCAGAGCTCTGACCAGAGTGGCTTTGAACTCATGGTAAGAGTGACATGAGTCAGACCCTACTTTCTGGAAGTCTTTGTGTTTGTTTTTTTGTGTTTTTTTTTTGCGATACACAGGCCTCTCACTGTTGTGGCCTCTCCCGCTGCGGAGCACAGGCTCCGGACGCGCAGGCTCAGCGGCCATGGCTCACGGGCCCAGCTGCTCCGCGGCACGTGGGATCCTCCTGGACCGGGGCACGAACCCACGTCCCCTGCATTGGCAGGCGGACTCCCAACCACTGCGCCACCAGGGAAGCCCTGGAAGTCTTTGGTTTATGATTTGAGGAATCTATGGGAGGGTTTGAATAGTCATGGGAGGGAGGTATGGGAAGGCAGTGAAACTGGAGAAGAGTCAAGCCTAAACTTAAAGAAGCAAAATACTTACAGCATCTCTTCAAATGTGTCAGGGTCCTGACTACCTGGTCTTCATAAACACTGAGAATATGAGGACATATATTTATGCGGACTATGAAGAAATTATATGTAAGGAAGAATTTTTTGACAAATATCTGGAAATAGGGTCCTGTGAAGGATCTAAAAAAAAAAATAATAGATTCCCTTCATGTAGGATGGATCCAGTGTCATCTTGCCTGAGAGGAGATAGAGTGATCAACATTTCACAAAGTCCTTGCAACATGTAGCTTTTTATGATTTAAATAAATTGTTAAGGAGTTATCATTGGTATATGATCAGAACTGCTTTGCACTGCTAAAGCTTATCAGTCTGCCTTCTGCCTTTGATAGGTAATTAAAAGTGATACGGACTTTCCTTCCACAAATTGTTTTGTGGACATAGGAAAGAGTAGACTATGGAGATAAAAGCAAGCTAAGAGACACTGATGTGTTCTAATAAAACAATTTCCAATATTAAATACAGGACTACCTCAGAGATGTTGCAGGTTTGGTTCCAGACCACTGCAATAAAGCAAATATTGCAATAAAGTGCGTCATATGAATTTTTTCACTTCTCATCACATATAAAAGTTATTTCACTACACTAGAGTCTACTAAGGGTGCAATAGCATTATATCTAAAAACAATGCACAAACCTTAATTTTAAAATACCTTAATTGCTAAAAAATGCTAACCAGCGTCTGACAAAGCAGGGTTGCCACAAACCTTCAATTTGTAAAAAAAAAAAAAAGACACTATCTGCAAAGCACGATACAGCAAAGTGCAGTAAAACGAGGTCTGTCTGTATCGAATAGAGGATAATGCCTGAAAAGTACTTAGTGAAATATCAGACATATGGTGGGCACTCAAAAAGAAAAAAAAAAAAAAAAAAAAAAAAAAAAAAACAATAATAGCATTTTTTATTCTGATTCTAGTTACTGTTATTATTTTAGCTGTTTTACAGTTAAGGGGGCAGTTCAGGGCTAATAAAATTTCAAAACTGATTTAACCTGTATGTTTCCGGTGGGAGAGCATGGGCTGGGCTGGGCGCCAGAATTGCTTGCTGCCTGCTTCACAGTTGGCCTTCTTCTGAGCAGGGCTTGTCTCCTCTGGCTCTAGGGAGAGTGAGATCGTGGAGCTGAAGTCCCAGCTGGCGCGAATGCGGGAGGACTGGATTGAAGAAGAGTGCCACCGGGTGGAGGCCCAGCTGGCCCTCAAGGAAGCCAGGAAGGAGATCCAACAGCTCAAACAGGTCATCGAAACAATGAGGAGCAGCTTGGCCGATAAGGACAAAGGCATTCAGAAATATTTTGTGGACATAAACATTCAAAACAAGAAGCTGGAGTCTCTACTTCAGAGCATGGAGATGGCGCACAGTGGCTCTCTGAGGGATGAGCTGTGTCTCGACTTTCCGTGTGATTCCCCGGAGAAGGGCTTAGCCCTCAGCACGGCTCCTGGCCCGACGGCCGAGGCGCTGACCCCGGAGGGGCCGGGGGCCAACAGCGAGCTGCTGGGGGAACACAGCGCAGGCCACGGCACAGATGTGTTCGATGAGCTGGTGACAGCCACCACCGTGGAGGCCGGCGACCTGGAGCTGCTTCGTGCCAGCCCTGGGGCAAAGGTCCTCGAGTTGGAGGGTCAGGAAGAGGGCAGCACGGTGGCAGAGCAGGCCGTGCAGACCGACGTGGTGCCCTACAGCCCTGCCGTCTCCGAGGTCATCCGGCATGTGCTCAAGCTCCAGGACCCCTGTCCCTCCAGCTCCACGTCCCCTGAGTCCAGGGCCGACTCGATGGAAAGCTTCCTGGAGTCCATCTCTGCCATCGTGGTCGATTTAACTCCAAGAAATCCAAACTCCACCATCCTTTTGTCTCCCGTGGAGACCCCGACCGCCGAGGTGGGTCCAGAGGCACGTGGGAACCGCCTCATGAGAGAGCTGGATTTTGCAGTCTCCGCGGAGGAAAGGCTGAACGGCCTGGTCCCGCTGTGCGGCGGGGGCATCGTGGGGCGGTACTGGAGCAGCAGTTTCCTGGTGGATCTCCTGGCCGTGGCGGCCCCCGTGGTCCCCACCGTGCTGTGGGCGTTCAGTACTCAGAGGGGTGGAACGGATCCCATCTACAACATCGGGGCCTTGCTGCGGGGCTGCTGCATGGTGGCCCTGCACTCGCTCCGCCGCACCACCTGTCATATCAAACCCTAGACAGAAGATGTCACTTCTGTGTGCCAGTCTGTCCCGTGTGGCCTGATGCTAGGTGGAGAAGCAGCGGGTCGACCTGTGGCGGTCTCTGTTCTGTCGTTTTTGCTCCTCGGTATTTGATTTGCACTATATTTAGTTGAAGCCTGTTCACTGTTTAAAACGGGACGTATCTTCGAAGGCATGGAGACCTGGTTCCAGTACATGTCCCACCAGTGTGGTATAGAAAGCATGCTCACGATCTTGTCGTGTCGTCTGAGGTACCCGTACTTATCCTAGTGGTGCAGGTAGAGAAAATGCAAAGTTTGCACTTTCAAGACAGCTTCTATAAGGCTGGCATGTTATCTCCTTGCTTTGCTTTTTGCCGTTTTAAAATGTGTAATTGTTACAGCATTCCAGTGGTCTTGTGCATAGCAGGGGATTGTAACCAAAAAGAAAAATGTATTTGTGTAACTGGTTTGCAGAAGTCTTGATAGCTCTTTAGTGTCTTACTTGGGGTTGATGAGGTTTGAGTGTTTGCAGTTTTCTACTAGATGTAGCTCCAAAGTCTTAAACGGCTTGTCTGTTCTCAAACCTGTTAATTGATGAAACTATATGTAAGGTTTACATTGTATTAACTTATTTTTTGCTTATTATATATAGTGTTTTATTGAAAATCGTTTGTAACCACACACTTCAGCATGATGAAAGTATAGTGTTTCCATTTAAATAAATGTTCTATCCTCCTATAAAATAATTGTCTCTGTGATTTTACTTTTACATATGGTAAGAAAGACTAAGTGGAAAACAGATCCTTCCATCTTTAACAGTAGGGATCTGTAAAAATGGAATTAAATGATAAAGAGGGAAAAATAATTATTAAAGAAAGGTGAGGACTTCCTACTCTGTCTTTTAAAAAGCATTGTTTCTGAAGACAAGTAGCTTTGATTGTTTGCTCTGAAATTATCCATATACTTGTTAGTCCACATATTTATTCAGTAAGGATATACTGAGTATTTCCAGGAAAGTTGGGCTGATTCTGTTTTAAAGCATGCTGGGGGTTCAGAGAGGGAGAAAATGCTGCACCGTATGTATCCTCCCCTTGGAATAATAGGGTGAGAGTGGGTGGCTGGGAAGGGATGAGACTATTAAATCTGTATTACTTTATTCCTCACACCGATCTTGTGATATGGGTATTACTCTACTCTACAGATAAGGGAGCTGAACCTTAAAGAGGTAGATTGCTCAGGATCTCATCTTCCATCTCTAGAAGCCAAGATTTCAAGGGTCTGCAAAGCAAATGACTTTTCCACTTTACACACAAATGGAAGAGACTGGGGAATATCCTAAGTTTTCACCCAGAAACTCTTCTTCCACAGCACTTATCACCTTTAAATGTACTGTATTGTCACTTACTATGTCTTGCTTATTGCCCATCCCCCCCACTAAAATACTAGGTCTCTGAGGGCAGAGATCTGTGTTCTGTTTTGTTCACAGAAGAATGTCAAGCACTTAGAACAGTAGGTGGCATATTGTAGGGGTTCTAAAAATAGCTGTTGAATGAATTCATCCAACAAATACTTAACTGGGTGCTCACACGTTAGGCACTTCGCTAGGCCTGTCGTCAATAGCGAAGGAGACAGACAAGGCTTCTGCCTTCAGGGAACTCACATTCTGTCTGTGAAAGACACAAAACATGCCAACAAATGAACAAATTAATTCTGGATTGAGGTAAGTGCTTCCAAGGGAATGAGGTGCTTTGACCAAGACTGATGGGGACAAAGGCCAGGAACACCTGTCTGAAGAAATACCATTAGTGCTAATGGATGATCAAGAGCCAGCTGTGGGAAGATATGGGGGGTAAAATTTTGCAGAAAGAACAGAGGCAAAGGCCCTGAGGCAGAAAAGGGCTTGACATGTTAGAGGGGCATCAAGGAGACCAGCGTAGCTAGAGCAGAGTGAGGGGCACGGGGGTGGCTGGAGAAGTGGAAGAGAAGCTAGTTCATATGGGGCCATGTAAAACCATGGTAGTGTTGGTTTCAATTTATTCCCACTGCAATGAGAAATATTAACAGACTTTATACGGGACAATGATACAATCTGGGTTTTTTTCTTTCTTTCTTTTTTTGACTCCGTGGCTGCTATGTGCAGGATGTATTGTACGGAGGCAGGAGTGGCAGCAGGAAGACCCACTGTAATAGTCCAGATGAGTGACGACAATTTGGAGGTAGAAGTGGATGTAGAGATTGAGTTGAATAATTAAAGATAGATCTTGAAAATAGTACTGATGCAATTTGCTGATGGATGGGATGTGGGGAGGAGATGAAGTAGGGTTTAAGGAAAGACAAAGTTAGGATCACTCAGGTTTTTGACTTGAGCATCTGGGTCAATAGTGGTATCATTTACTGAGAATGGAAAAGTTCAAGAGAAGCTAGTTTGGGACAATAAATTTGAGAAGTCTGTTAAATATGTGGAAATGTCAAGTGAGTAACTGCATGTATGAACGTGAAAATCACAGGAGTCACCAGGGCTAGGGTTATAAAATAGGGGTTCTTCGACATTTACATACTGTTTAAAACCATGGGATGGATGAAATCATCCAGGGAGAGTGTAAAGAGGAAAAGAAGGCCAGGGACTGAGTCCAAGGGCACTTCTACATCTAGATAGAGGTAGAGGATGTAGAACCAACAGAACAGCCTGAGAGAGGCAGCCCAGAGGCAGGAGGAAAACTAGGTAACTGCAATATTCTGAAAACCAAGAGCAGAGAATGGTCAACTGTGTTGAAATCCTATTAGGAAGTTGAGTAACATGAGAACAGATAGATGTCCACTGGCTTTGACAACAAAGTCTTAGTGACTGTCAAGATCATTTTCTTTGCAAAAATGGTGATGGAAGCCAGATTGGAGTGGGTTGGAGAGTGAATGGAAGAGAGAAAGCGGAAATCAATGTGTGCAGCTAATGTTTTTTGAAGTTTTACCGTGAATGGGGAGTAGGGCAGTGGGTAGCAGTTACGAGGGGATATGCGTTGCAAGGATCTGTTTTATTTTTCAATATTGAGTGGAGATAATGTTTGTAGGCTTTTGTGATTGAGCCAATGAAGAGAAAGAAACTGATGATCTAGGAGAGAAAGAATTAACTGAAGGAGGGAAGTCCTTGAGAAGACACGAAGGGACAGGATGGAGTTGTGGAGCGAGGTGGGCTGTCTCAGATAGGCTGTTTCTTCCGTGGGATACACACATGCCTCAGGCACACATATGGGCTCTTACACAGCACACGCTCAGTAGCAGAGGGACTTGGCTGAAATGGAAGGGAAGCTGTTTCTGGAAGTGAATACTCAGAAGCTTCCCAAACTAATAAGCCATGCTGACATAGGTCCCTTCCTGTAGTCTATAGCCCAGACCAACACCTAGATACTGCTATCTTCCTTATACTCCCTCCTTGTGTTTATTTTTCATCATTGCTAAATTAAGCATTTTTAAGAAAAATTAAAAGTGTGTTTTTTGTATCCGTTTGTTGCTACAGAAACAAATAGAACCACATAAACTCAGAACTGTTCATCAGTTCAAGATGGATGGCAAGATGGGCGCTGGTGAAGAATTCTCTGTGAGCTGCAAAGGATTATGTTGGTTACCACACTGGAGGCAGCTGATCCCAAACAGCAACTTGCTTTGTTGTCTTAATGACCTGTATCTTTTCTTTTACGCAAACCAGAAGATTCAAAGAAAGTTAACTCATTTGAAACAGTGGACACAGTGTAGTGTAACTTGTTATACACATGGAAATAAATCTGTGCAAAGGTAAAACAGGAGACCCTGGCAGTGGCTATTCTGTTTTTCTTTTTTCTCCCTGCCTCCTTCCCCCACCTTTTCCTCCTCCTTCTTTCCCAGGGTTTCAATATGTATTGTGGAAAATTACTGCTTTTACTCAGAACTAAGTCTGTCACAAATGAGTCCCTCAGAGTAAATAAAAGATGGGTCATAGCTTGCATTTCAGAAGCCCAAGGCTTTGGCTGGTTTTGTGGACAGGATGATCTGATCCCACAGAAAGAATTGCCTCAAAGTTGCTTTCCGTAATTTGGGTGCCTGTGATGTACAAACAGGCAGGAAGATGGAAAAAGAAGAACAATTCTATTCTATTGAATAAATTGCTGTCCCTTCAAAGCAAACGTTAAACATTTCCTACAGTTATGTGTGCAAACATTCCAATTTATGAGAAAAGATTTTTCCCAAAGGGATATGCTGACCTTTCCAAGTTGAGCTGTTCAGAAAGGGGAAAAAATGCAATACACTCAGATGCCAAGTGTTTCTGACATTTGTGGCAGGAGAAAAAGGAAGTCTGTGATTTGCATTTGTCATAGGCCCTGCCTAAGTAGTGGTTGGGTCCAATATGTTTTTCTCTTGAGGAGTTTTCATTTTGAAAGTTTGGGGGTAGGTTCCGACTTCCATTTTGGCTCAGTGAGCACTTTTACAAAATTCACTTATTCCCAGTCTTACCAGGCAAAATGTGTACAGTGAAGCAGTAACCTAGGCAATTAAAAATAGCAGTTTACAGAAATCAAATCTTGAAAGAATGCCAACAAACTCCCAATGGTCCTGGGAGAAAAAAAACAATTGGAAAGTCCAAATAGAATATAAACAACATGTTTATATCAGGTAATTATTTTCAAACCACTGGAAGACATTCTCTGCTGTGACTACTGATTCTCCCTCAATCACGATGATTGTGGTAACTAATGGTTATAACAATGATTCCAAAGAATTTTAAAATTAAAAAAGGTTTAAATGCTACTCAAAAGTTTGTGTTAGAAGACTGGAATATTTCAGCAGCATTTAAGTTTTGTAAAAGGTGTGTCTCTCTCAAAAATAAATTTTCAACATAAAAAAACCCAATACACAAAACACATAAAAGTGCAGTGTTTGGAACAGGGCACCAGGCCTGGAGACCTCCCATTTGCCTCCCTCTCATCTCCTGCAGTGGTTCCAGTGTCACCTCTGCGAACAGTTTAAAAACCAGTTCACTATATACCAGGTTCTTTGAAAACTGCCACTTCAAGTAAGATGTCCTATGTGGTAACTCTCGGTTCATTGGAAGAGCAAGTACTCTGGATAATGCTGAGGGACTCGATCTTCTACTGTCCTAAACAAATTAATGCTAATAGAGATGTTTTCTAACCTTTTCTCACAAAACTCTGTTTGCCACTGCTCTGTTGATTTGAGTGGGAAGAGAGTCACTCCATCTCCAGAGGCAATGGAAGCATCTGGGATTATGGATGTGAAATGATGATGTAAAACCCACAGTCCAGGCTTTCTAGTGAATGCTGTTAAAGGCAGGCGTCAGAGCTTTCCTCCTCATGGCCCTAGAGTTCCTCCCATGGTAATCGTATCTGGCCCACCTTCAGAGATATTTTCACCCTTGTTCCTTGAAAGTAGCGTTTCTGATCAAAGCTATTTGAATGACTGAAAAATTAAATTTTTGCTAGACTGTAGCTTTAATGGACTGGAATATGAAAACTATTAACAACTGCAATATTTCTCTAATTTGATGGTGCAGTAAGATCCTTCCTCTCCTTCCTTGCAATCAAATAGCTCACAGTGTTTGAAATGGTTTGCCAGCCTCACTTTCTACAGTAAACAGCAGGTGCTGGCATTTTAAACTGACCTTTAATTCTTCTGAACCAGCACATTATTTCTGGCTTGTATGGAGAAAATGAAAAACTTGAAAGCAGTCTTAATAATTTTCACACTGAAAGAAGTACATG